CCTAAGTGACCGTTGTGACTGGTCCACCAAAGGACTGGTTGACCGGTCGCTATGACACGCACTGACCACCAGGGGGCAGACACTCAATACAGGAGCTGCCCCCCGGTGGTCAGCCACTCCCACAGTTCCTCCCCCCCTTCAGCCGGCTGGCCCTGATTGGCCCTGATTAGGACTGGGCGAGACGACCTTGATCAGCCCTGATCACCGACCAGGCTAAGGGAACCCACCTGTACACGAATTCATGCACCAGGCCTCTAGTTTACTATAAAGGCCCAGAGTAATGCAGCCTCTCCCCACACATTCAGCCTCAGCCTCACCTCTTGCAAGTCACTCACTCATTCTCAATGCTCCAGCCACGCCCACACAATTTTAGTTCCCCAGAAAAACCCATGATCCCCAATACCCTGGGGACTTTGCATGTACAATGAGTCCAGTTGGGGATGATGTGTGTCATAGGCAAGCCACAATTATGGGACCTAATGACAGCCGATATCAGGATGGTATATTCTTTTTGACAATTCATTTTCCTACAAACCACCCCTTCCAACTACCTAAGGTTGCATTTACAGCAAGAATTTATCATCCAAATATTAACAGTAATGTTAGCATTTGTCTCAGTGGTCTAAGATCACAGTGGTCTCAGGCTTCAGCTATTTCTAAAGTTCTTTTAGGTATTTGATCACTGCTCTGTGATCCAAATCCAGATGACCCCCTCGTGCCAGAGATGACATGGATCTTTAAAACAGACAGAGATAAGTACAACAGAATATCTCAGGAATGGACTCAGAAGTATGCCTTGTGATGCTAACCTCAAGTCAGATTAACTTGCATTATAATTGAAGTAAACTTTAAACTACTGTTTAAAAATCACTGTGTGTGTGCCCTTTCCCAGGTCCCCCTCCTTTACCTATTTAACCCCCATTCCTCCTCTAACTTCACTTTCTCAGGTAACCTTCCCTGGCCCCCGATCAGCCCAGATCCCTCTGTTCCGTGTCCTCCTGATGTTCTACTATTTTCCTTCTCCAGCTGCCGTTATATACCTGTGTGCTGATTTGATTGTCCACCTTCCTCTCTAGACCACAAGCTCTGTGAAATACATGTAGCAGGGGCTTAAGAAATTATTGTAATAAGTTAACTTGCCTCATGTATTTTATTAGTCACTTTAGATGCATTATCTATTTAGGACCGTGTGTAGCTAAAGAATACTAAAGCTGGGAGAATCTTAAATAACTTGCTCAGTCGGTGATGACGAGCCTGAACTTTATTCTCAGTCTGTCTAACTTGAGCTGACACTCCCGACCACCACCCTAGTCTGCACGGGAGAATAACAGGTGACGTCCATGGAGTTGTGTTAGTGTTAAGTGTTGCAAGAATGTTTTTCTACTCAGTATTTTCTGTTGTATCATTGTCTTAATATCCCTTCAACAAAAATGGTCTTCTACATGATAGATAATTTTTTCTGAGCTTTGTCTTATACAGATTCTAATTTCTAATTAATCTCTTAGCATCCTTCTCCAACTTGGTTATCTGGCTTCCCGCTGTACTATATTATGCCATTCCAGATATATTTTTCCTACTCCATGCCTGTGTTTTCCTCTAACTTTTACAAAGCTGGAATAAAGTGGGAAAATGCACTACCATTATGGCTTGTCAATTTTGTTCAAAGGATAAATGCATTTTCCGGTACAGGTGGGGTATGGAAAGTGTTTTTAGAATAAGGCAGGAAGGGATGATGAGATGAGGCTGAACTCTATATAGAATCAAGACTAGGAAAACTCAGTTCCAGTTTGGAAATAATGAAACCAGATAATATTCCCTGTTGAAAGGCAAACATGGTTGAAGAATGCCTACAGCATCATGGGATTGAGAAATATGCAGAAGGCTAAACACAGTCTTTATTTTAAAAAGGAAGAAAATTGTTCGATAACATTTACCCAAAGGAGAGTTCGGTGTAATGGATAAACTTATATAATAACAGAACGACTATGTATTTTCAATATGCTGCTGTTTTGTTGATGAAAGTAGAAGCATTTGCAATATATACATATACTTTTGTTAGCTTCAAACAAAAAGTGATTTGAAGAAAGAGAAAACGGGGGAGGTCCCAGTGAATTAAGAAAATCAGGTCAACTTGATTAATAGTGAGACAAAGCAGTAGATGAAAATACCAACAATTCTTGCATAATCTGTCACTGATTGTTGGCAACAAGCTCAGGCATGAGCCGTGGTATTGTCCTGGCCCACAATCCTGTGCCTTTTCCCAGAGAAATCTTCTTCTGCCCCACACAGCCAGCCCCCCTCCCCTAGCTCCCCCA